CTCCCTCCCCTTTATCCTCCGTTTTTTCTCCAGATCTTCTCACGCCCTTCCCATTCTCCTGCCAAGGGTGCAGACGCTGAACACACACCTGGACAGCAGGGCCTTTCTCCTCCCCACCTACAACGGAACCGGGAGGTTCTAGGGTGAAAGGGCAGCTGTGGTGATGTGGAAAAGGAGGTCGGGGGACCCAGCAGAAATACCCCCATTCTCCCAGCCTCTGTCATGGAGCCATTGAACAGCTGTGAGCCATGCCTCCCTCACCCACCTCCTACCCCTTCCTGTCCTGCCTCCTCATCAGTGTGTAAATAATTTGCACTGAATCGTGGATACAAAGCCACGAGTTTGGTTGTTGTAAATAAAACTATTTATTGTGCTGGGTTCCGGCCTGGCTTGCAGAGACCACTTCCACCCCACCCCAGTCCCTCTCCCTTCTCCTCTCCTTCTGCTCTCCAGCCTCTTCTGATCCCTCTCTTCCTCTCCCCAATTTCTCAAAGATGCCGTTGCCTACCGGAATCAGCATTTCCTTCCATTGTAGCTATTAGTGGCTCCCCACCCCCACCGATGTAGTATCTTCCTCCGCAGAATAAAATTTCTATTTTTATCAGTGACTTGGTGGCTTCTCCTTGAACCCAGAACACACCATTGCTTGCCTCTCTTAAATAGGCTACATTGTTGGGGGACTGGTTTCCCCGCCCTGCAAGAAGACCCTTGCATGACCTTAATGAGGCCCCTGGGGATCTAGGTCCTCAGAAGAACCTGGCCAGGAGCCAGGACACCCTGCAAGATTCTTCTTCCTATTTGAACACCAACCGGCTGTGTGATACTGGGCAAGTCCATAACTGCCTCAGTTTCTTCCCTTGATGAACGGGGATTAAACAAACAAGCAAACAAACTCTCAGCCTGCCTTTCCTTTCTGGAATTGTGAAAATAGATACACCTGAGTGAAGCCATGACCCTGTTCTGAAAAGAAACCAAAGAAGAAAAGAGAAAGCCAAGCAGAAAGGGTGCTGCTGTAGAGCTTTCAGCCCCTGAAGCCTATTGGCTTCAGCTGTGGTCACGGCTTATTAGGACCTTATCACGTCCTTATTAGGACCCCAGCTCCCAACCTTGGGCTCAGGAGGATCCAGGTGACAGGTGATGGGTTCTAGCACTGGACCCAAAAGCTCAGAGACGACAGTGGGGGAGAAGAAGGGAGCTGGAGGGCTAGAATCCAGCTAGAGGCTAGGGCTTAAACCAATGTGACCAGAAGGAAACCCAAGTGTGGTCCATAACCACACCATTAAGTTAGTCATTCCCATAAAGAGCCTGAAAGAGCACTGTTACTAATAACGCTCATACCTCCATGTGCACATTCACCAGAGTCCGCAGGAGTACTAATCCTGCCCACGCCCTGAACCTATCTCTAACCCTAATCCTCTGCCCGTCCCTAGATCTAGGTCTAACCTTAGCCTTAACCCTAACTTCAGACAACACTAACCCCTTCCTAAGCTCTAACGCTTGTCCCTAATCCTAAGACTTCCCCCCCAGGGGAGGACCTAAAGGGCAGGGGGAGCTATGAAGCACCCCACCCCCCAAGGGCAACAACTGATCCCAGATGGCTGGAGAATTTCCCCCTCTCCCTAGGATTCTTTTGCTGTGGTAGCTGCCTCCCACCTCTCCCTGGATGTGTGAACTCTGACCCCTGTTGGCCTTTGGGGTATGTGTGGGGGTAGGGGAGTGGAGCCAGGAGCTGCTCAACCCTGCAATGACATCCCTTTCCCTTTTTCTCCATCTGCCAAGCCAGCACCAGCTTAGCTCTCATGGGCAGCAGAGGGGGAGGAGTAGAAACCTTATTGATCCGGGGTAGAAGGCACCTCTCATAAGCCTTGGGTTTCCAGTAAAGAACCCCCTGCAGAGAATGTCCAGTCTATAATCCAATGAATTATTAGATCCCCCAGCTCCCAAAGCAAGAAGCGAATGGGATGCCAGAGGCAGGAGAGGGGGCTTGGGCCCCTACAGGACGATGCCCAGAGTTGGGGAGAGGCAGCGTTTGGGGAGCTGAAGGGTTGGCAGCTGTCCCCAAGCACTCTCACCTGATTCCTAACTCCAAGAGCTGGAATGGGTATCAGCTTTCAGGCCTAGAAGCTGGGGCCTCTGAGCTGAGCTGACACACAAGGGCTGAAGAAGCGTAAAGGGAAGCAATGAATCCTGTTCTGGCCCTAATTAGACTTTCAACAGATCTGTTGTTTTCTCAGCCTCAGTTACCTTGTCGATTGAACAGGGATGGTTGTCAGTGCTTAGACCTCTCCTTCAAGAAGGTGGTGAGGTTCAGATGAGGGTCATGTACGTGAAAACTCTGGTCACTTGAACACTTGCTGACGCCTCTTCTGTGCCAGGCGTGTGAGAAATGCTGGGGATACGGGGATGCGTGAGCCATCGTGCCTACCTGGAGAAGTTTATAGGGTGGCCAGGGAATCAAGCACATCGACTGGTATTGTCAGACGAAGAAGGGAGTGCAGTGAAGGCTCATCGAAGTGTAAAGCCCTCTGCACACCCATGAGGTTTGATGAAAGACTCCCAGAATCAGTCCTCTGCGTGGGAGCCCTCGCTTCCAGGGGTGGGGACTTCAAAGTGGGTAAGGAAGTGCAGAATGAGGCTGGGCCCTCAAGGGGCCATGCACCAAGAAAAAAGGTGTGTGTGTTGGGGGGGGGGCGGGGGGCAAGCAAAAGGGGTGTGGGATCTCTGCAAAGTATTACATAGAAGCTAATTCTTTTTCATGTTATGATCACCTGTGCCATTCTCACGAAGGGCTGTGCCTGGAAGGGTATCACCATAGGCAAGTGTCGTCAGGAATGGGCCTGATGCTCCAGCTCTGCCCTATCCACCCAGGCTACCCTTCCACCCACTTCTGATCTTCAGGTGCCAGGTGCCACACACCCAGGGGGATTTGAGGCTGCCAGGGACCCCGGACACATGGTTGGCCTCAGCGGGTGAGGGAGGCACTAGTCCTGAAATACCCTGGGGGTGGGGGGGAGCGGAAAAGCTGAGAGGAGTGAGACGGCAGGCCTGCGCAGTCCCCAGGGGGTCAGCAAGCCGGCACCACACACACCCTGCCACACGCACCCTGGAAAAACCCTGTCAGTGGGGCTGCAAATACCCCAGGGTCTAGCACCCCCCCCTCCCCACCTCAGGCTGGCTCAGTCCTCCTCTCCAGGCTAGAGGGAGAAAAATAACAAAATGAGGAGAAAATAAGCTGTTTGGCTGTGGTGTGAGCAGGAATATCCATACAGAGCTGCCCACCACTCACCCTTACTCACTCTTTCCACACCCAGCCGGGGCGCCCAGCATGAGACAGACCACCCCCCTGCCCCCTCCCCCGTCTGGGCTAAAAGCAGACGCTGGTGAGCGAGCAGCAGGTTATAAATATGCCCAGGGAACTGCCGCCAACTCGCTCCCTTGTCATTCCCTGGGAGGGGATAGGGTGGGGTGGCTCCTAGGGAGGAGCCAGGGCTGTTCCTGGGGCCCAGGAGGAAGTGGGGCTTCCAAGAGGCTACTGCACTTTTTTTTTTTTTTTTTTTTTTTTTTTTTGCCCTTTTCAAAGGGAAGGAACCCCCACCACTTCATTTTTCCTGGGCATTTGCTCATCTGCTCAGAGGTGGGGTTCCATCCTTCCAGGGCCACACTGAGGACCTCAGAAGGAAAGGGCCCAAGGCCACCCTGTGTCACGGTGCAGCCGGGCAGCACTCCTCTTTCTCACACTCACTTACCCTCAGCAAAACCAGAGTTCATTCATTCATTCAACAGGCATTGACTGACGGCCTGCTGAGCACCAGGCCCGGGCATCAAAATACCTGCGAGCACAAGTGTCTGCACGTGTATGTGCACGCCCGCACAGTGGCCCGGCTCCCGTGTGTTCACACCAGCACCGGTCCCTCTACGGACTTCTTGGCTTTAACCCGGCAGCCTCATCAGAAAGGGTAAAGCTTCAGGCTCCTTCCTGATTCTGCCTCAGAGTAGGTTGGTGGAGGTGGAGGGTGTTGAGAGCAGGGCCCCTAAACATTCCTGCTTCCATTACTCCCCAGATAAATGAAGGGTCCTTTTTCTCCTCCTGCTCAATCATCTCCCAATGCAGGCGCCATGCCAGGAGAAAGAGCCACTTTGTGGGATGCTGGGGGCCACCTGCCCAGGCTGCCAGAGCCTCCTGCCTCCCAGTCACTTGCCAAGTAGGTGCCAAGCTGGGCAAAAGGGGGCAGTGCCACCCTGGGAAGCTTCCAGTTCTCCTCCCCCAGGGCCGAACCCCTCCCCTCTCCCTCCTCCCTATTAATCCTCGGAAGTGAAGGGGCCGTCCCTGGCGGCCCCTCGGCCCTATTGTGGCCCCTCGCCCTCCTCGGCTGGCGTCTAATTAACTCCTCCTGCCCCCGGTTTTGTGTGCCCCCCTTACCCCACCTTGTCGGCCCCGCCCCTCCGCTCGGCCTGCTCCCCCCCACGGACATTCCAGCCCGGCTGGGCTGGTGTGCCAGGGCAACCAGGGCCGGACCAAGGCCTAATCCTCCCGCCGCCTGGCCCGGCTGGGGGAGCCCCACTCACCTCCCCGCTCTCTGGGGGCTGCCCGGCTCTGCTGCGGCGGAGACACACAATCAGGACAAAGGC